AACATTCTTTTGAGCTGAAATTTTCAGGGCATTCTATTGGTACATAGACCTATCTTTGGACATAATCTCAGCTCGAAATATTGTCATTCGATTTTTTGGTATATACTGTGCCATAGGCTAAAAATCTAGTAAAATGCCTATAACTCTGGACGGAAGGCCTATGGGCACTTATCCTTTTGGGCCTTTTCATACCTCACTGGGGTCTATCTTTCAAACTGAGTTCGAACTCAAAAGCGATTGGACAGTTGAATAGGTTCCCTCGTCAGTCTAATATCAAATATACTATTATGTGCAGTCGTTTTGATAAGTTTCCTTTTTTGGTGAAAACAGTAGATGCTTCTTTTGAACTCCAACAAAGTTTGCATCATAACGAGATGCGTATGGATAGAAAATGAAGCATTCAACTGTCCAAAAAGCCTTTTGCTCGCGTAACTACACTTTTATCTCAGCATCGCGGCGTGAGAGCCCTTTGCGTCTCCCACCCTCCCCACAACAGTGGACAGTCAGGCAACAAAATCGATTTTCAAGATTTGAGCCTATATCATAGCTAGCATTGAAGCTATTATGGTGCTGCATTTATGTGCATCCTGGACGCTGCTTTTAGTCGGTGTCTGTTAAGCAGCCGATCCCACAAAGTATATAAAATAGGTGCATATCATTAATAGGACTATATAAGTAAAATGTATGTTTTAAATTGAGGATCTAATTATGTTCATTAATTATTATAAAGTTATACAATGTTATGTATTTACTACATATTACAGGCCATTTGAACTTCTTGAAATTCCTTAGACTATAATAAAATCAAACACTTAGACTCAGTATAGAAAAAAAGCACTGATCAATAATGCAGTTATTTCCTCGGATTTTCTCGAAACTTTAATTCAAGTTTTAATTTCTTATTTGGTAGGACATGTCATCATCTATTCTCAGTGGATGCGCAAAGATGCGTGTTTAAACTCTTGTTGAGATATACTATCTCAAATGTAACGTTCTATCAAAATTTGTTGGCAATTTTAGTATAGTAACCACTCATGTTCTAGCCCGTCAAGTTTTGAATAGATAAATAAACAGCAAACGTACATCAACTTCAAGTTTTAGATTGGCCATTTCATTTTAGAATCGGTTCTTTGCCTCTCTCTTAGGAATTAAATATATGAAAAAATCATGCATAGGTTCACTTGTAGGATCTGCGTCCCCGAACAAAAATCTTTTCCCTCTTTATCTTTTCGTGATGTCAAACTTTGTATTAAATTTATTACTGAGTAGAAATATGACATGAAAGTTTTATTTCATTTTGGTGTACAGATTACACTAATAAAACTCTTATGTCATATCTTGACGCAGCAATGAATTTGATACAAAGTATGACAGCATAAAAGGATAAAGGGAGAAAAGACTTTTGTCCGAGGATGTAAAATGATTTGTTTCATACTTTTTTAATTTTTTCGTTCGTAAAAATACACCGAGTTGCACGATCTTCTAGATTACGCTCGAGACAAATAATGTTAGTAGAAGTGAATAATTTTTGTAGTAAGAGTCAGTAAAGATTGCAACATATACTATAAACATTGAGAAATTTAGGTTTTAAACAGAACTTCAGAAAATATGAAATACTCAGAAACTCAGAGTGTAGGCGTGGATGTGGGCCTCGTCTCCGCTCGCATCCAAATCATACACTCACACCCCACGCTCCACATCTGGAGTTTTTGAAATACACTCGAACTCAACAGAATCTGGATTGATTTTAAGAAAACAAATATGAACAGAACCTGAACTCTTTTTTAGAAAAGAAAGATGAACCGAACCTAACTTGAACCAGCAAAACTCGGTTCGATTCGATCTCTGCTATCAATACACCCTCTACACTTTTTGTATTAGATATTACTCTACACTCATAATAAATGTAAGTAATTGCTGATTATGATCCTTATAGGCACCCTTTTATTTCGAACAAGAATATTTTTTTTCAAGTAAAATTTCATTAGAGTTGAAAGGCGCATCCACTCCTCGTCAACTGAATTTCTAGAGCTATATAACATGCTAGAAAAACGATAAAAATTTCAAGATAATTGTCAAGCTTTCCTTCTTGTCGGTAGGAGGGCAAAGACTTTCGGTGGATGGGTGGCGTCCTGTCTAGCCACCCCTAGATACGCTACCACTTTCTTATTATCTGAGTACTTTTGAAAACAAATGAAATATTTGTAATCAGCGAACTAAGTACTATTGAACTATAAAGACTTGTAATAGAACAGCGACAAAAATTTTTTTTCGATATCTGAGCGAGACCCCAACTGTGAGAAATTGGGTTGTGATAAAGTAGAAAATAACATTATGAAAAATAGTCAGGGGTCAATGCTGATTATCAAGGTAATCAAATGAGGTTCAGCTTTTTGCGAGGCCGTTGGTCCGTAATTCGACGCAACTTTTGACGTATTGGAATGTAATTAATGCGTGATAATGAACTAATAAATCAATAATAATCAACAACATGCTTTACTTTATCTTATTTTACTTCATCTTACTTTTTCGGTAAAGTAAAAGATACTTTACTTTACTTTAATTCACTTTACTTTACTTCACTTTTCGGGTAAAGTAGACTAACTTTACTTTATGGATAAAGTAAAGTAACATTACTTTACATTATCCGTAAAGTAAAGTAACCAAACTTTACTTTACCCAGTAAAGTAAAGTAACTCTACTTTACTTTACTTTACTTTATTAAAGTAAAATAGATTTAAAGTGCCACCCCCTAGTGAGTATCGACACACCGTGATTGTATTCAGGGTATCCGATTAATAAATCACAGATAAATATCTGCAAGCAGTGATTTTATCAGGAGCTTCATATTTTCTTCCAACAACATGTTGCAAAATTAGGCTTCTCTGTTTTATCATCGCCGCGGAAGAGTATTTTCTCTCACTTATGTCAATAAAAAATGTCGACTGAATTTGGTGTTATTTCGTTACACATTCTTTCAACTTCTTTTTCGTTCTGTTTATCAAGTTTATGGCGAAATTAAAAATATTTGCAACTAAGCAGTTCTTATCGTAATGGTCTATAATTGGAAAATTCCAACATTGAGGTGTTTATAAATACACAGTTTTCAGCATAAGATCTTCATCAGTTGTACTATTCATCTCTGAGACGCTTAATTCTTGCTCCCTGCAACACTATATAGAGGTAATTATTAGGAATTTTCACAAGATCGTATAGCATCATATTGTATGTTTGTAAAGTCGCACTCATTTATAAAGCTATCCAGAGGGAAAAAAGAAATTAATGGATCTATATTTTAGATCAGTGATGGCATTCAATCGGCACTATTCTCGATCATCAGTGGGACAGTCATCTTCTGATGATAACTGTACGCAAGTAGTCTATTGTCTAACAATTGCACAATAGTCTAAGATATTTAAGATTAAAGAAATATTCAAGAGTATTTTTGCTAAGATTTGTTGAAATCACACCGATTTCTGGATATAACTTTCGGTAACATTTAATAGAGGTCAAGGTGATATAACGAGACCATAGTCAACATAGATGAGTTATCATCCGCATTGTCAATTTTTTTCTCGCCTTCACATTCTTATCGCCGTTGCTACTCTCATTGCCCTGACATATTGGGAGTAAGTGGTCCCGCAGACATCCATGTCATAGGCAAGTCTGAACAAGCGCACGAGGATTTACTTTCCTAGCAATAAACCAGTAAGTAGAGTATTTGTCTTTTGTTATCATCATTTTTTTCAGACACAGCAATTTCAACAGTTGAAGTAAATCTAACCTATCTGTCTCGTTACCATACAATGGTCTATTTGATTTCTTTCTGAATTCCAAGCAACAAAAAAGTACTTCATTTACATATAAAATGGTGAGTCAGGAGACTAAGGATAAACAATCTATTTTCGTAGCACTCAAGGGAGCTCGGCGAGTCTAGTGGTCCATAGCTATTTCATATACTTTTTTCCAAACAGAGTGGGTTTGGTGGGTCTAGGATGTCTTCAGCTAATAGCTATAGATCTAGCAAGCCTCGTCCTATTTAAGCAAAGGTATATGAAATAGCTATAGACCCAGTACACCGACCGGCCTCACCCTATTTGAGAAAAGTGATAGCTAATAGTTATACACTAGCTAGGCCCTTATCTGGCTCATCATATGGTATAATGTTGTGCTCTTTAGTTCTTTACTGTTGAGACATACTGTATTATCGGATCAATATGGCTGCTAATGAGATATTGGCTCTTAGTTACACTAATGGTTTTCATATATGAAAGGTTGTTCACCGTGACTGTTACGAATAATATGCTCACTTTTTTCTAGCCTAGCTTTCTCCACCCTGTGATGGGAAAGTGTATGTCTTTTTTTATTTGAAATTCAGATTTAATGCAAAAAGACCATAAAGTCTTTGTTACATAGCTTCTGAGCAACTAAATAACACTAGTGAGCACTGTTTTAAATAAGAATATCTTAACTAATGAAAATTTATTAAGTTGATTTAAAAAATAGAACGTATCAGTGTTATAGACGACTGATATTTTGCCGTTCAATCGATTGTATATCTGTCTCTAACAAAGTTTCAGTTAAATTATCTTCAGGTTTTTTATTGATAATATCTTTTATGAAACTTAACTGATATTTTTTTCCAACAAATATAGTATTTAATGTTACATTTAATATTGTAGTGGATAATCAAATCGCCGCAATTGCTCGTAAATATGAGATACAGAAGACGATGGCCCAACGTCTTCGAAAACTTCGAGATTTTGAAATCGTCATCGTTTGTGACGATTCGGGTTCCATGATGACGACAGTTGATGGTACTCAACGCACTCGATGGGATGAACTTCGCATAATTGTAAAAATTGTACTGGATATTGGTGTTATATTCGATACGAACGGTGTTGATATCTATTTTATTAATGGAAAATCTTTTCCAAATGTCAAAGATCCTAGAATTGTCAACCAGGCATTCGCAGCAAGTCCAAGTGGTTATACACCATTAGTGCCCGTTCTTGACAAAATCTTTCAATCACCATTGTCACGTCGCGGACGTGATAAAAAATTATTAGTATTTGTAGCCACTGATGGTGTGCCAACTGATGAAGATGGCAACGAAAATGTATATGAGCTTGAGCGTATTATGTGGGATACTCGCCGAGCGGAAACCACTTATGTGACATTTTTACTATGCACCGATGATCCAGATTGTGTTAGCTACTTGACTAAATGGGATGAAACAATGAAAAATGTGGATGTTACCGATGATTACTATACGGAGAGAGACAAAATTCGCTGTTTTCGTGGGCGAAACTATCCTTTTTCGCGTGGTGATTATGTTGTTAAAGCATTAGTTGGTGCTATCGATCCAGAAATCGATGCTCTCAACGAGCCGATCTAAGGGAACAATTTCGTAGTCCAAATGTCGACACAAACGCTTTGACGTCATTGAAAACTCTTGCGTCACTTTTGTAAAATATTTCTAGGGTAGTTAAACAAATAAACATCATCCGAGAAAAACCGATCATCAACATATTTCTCCCAAAACACCTCAATTAGTATAATTCAGTAATTCTCTGTTTACATTGTAAAACAGCGATACTTAAGAATTTGATCATAATTACTGTTTATGCTACCTAAAAAAATGTGTACTAAAAGTTATCTTATCCAACTATACTTATATATTGAACTAAGAAAACTAAATTTGTAGTTTTCGAGAACACATATGTCAAATATGTGGGTGTATGCGTGTTATCGACATGATGAAGCGCAAATATTACCTGGAGATATTGACTATGCGATTTATTTCATCATGTAAATATTGATTTTATGATATGTGTCTTTTTCTTCTAGTAGATCATATGTCTCTCCTTTCTTTCTGAATAACGTCGATAGTTATCTCCAACGTGTGCAAATAGAAAAACGTCTCATGTCTGTTATTTCTCACTTCATTTTTATTCTCCATGTTGTTTTTGTTGTTCTGTTTTCTTTTTCGATTCTATTCCAACTAACGTACATATATTTCCAACTATCTTACAAGTAACGTTCATCGTCAAGCGATTCACTTAGCCCTAGACTGATAGAATACATGTACGGATGTAATAGCATAAAAAGCTACATTAAAAATGTAATACGCAAAACTGATAATATGACCAATATATCTTAGGCGGCCAGAAAACTTAATGTGGAGAATTCTCACTCTAAGTAAAGACGATGCATTTACAAATTTAATTCTTTTTATCGTTTTTGTTTTATTTTTTTTCGCTTTTATAAATATAAATATAAATAGCGCCCAATAAGATTAGACAACAATACGATTTTTTTAATAATTATATTGGCGCTATTTGTACGTACAAAAATATGAATTATATTATTCATAAAATTTGAGTTTTATTAATCAATATTTTATGCTTAATTTCGCGCATTAATTCTAAACTATTATAATAAATTATATATTCATTGATACAACATTGCACAATCAATCCTACAAAAAAGAATAATTTAAACGATTTCTTTAAATCCATACTGCCCATTTGATCTGATTCTCACTAATTAAATGCTTTTGTAAGTCGTTTTACACCATTACCCGAATTCTAGTTATTCCATTGACATTTTATCCATAATTATTATCGGTTCATTTAAATCAGTCTTTAGATGGTCATTTGTACCATAGTTACCGGAATAGTTGTTTGTACCATTGTTGCTATATGGTCACCTGTGCCATAGTTACATGGTCGCTTGTACCAAAAAAATGACTGCTTGTGCCATAGTTACGTGCTCATTTGTACCATAGTTACCTATTTAATTTTAGTAAAAAAATGGCAGTTTGCGCCAAAAAAATGGTCATTTGTGCCAAAAAAATGGTCGTTTGTGCCAAAAAAATGGTTGTTTGTGGCAAAAAAATTGCCGTTTTTGCGAAAAAAATGGCCGTTTGTGCCAAAAAAATGAGCACTTGTGCCCTATGATCATTTGTACCATAGTTACCATGCCCATTTTGACCATGGTTGTTATTTGGTCATTTGTACCATGGTTGCTATATGGTCACCTGTGCCATAGTTACGTGGTCGTTTGTACCAAAAAAATGACCGTTTGTGCCAAAAAAAATGGCCATTTTGACCGCGTTACCGACACACAGACAGACAGACGGACAGACAGACAGACACAGGTGAATTTAGGTTTCTAGACCCTAGCCTTTCAGTCTAGGGAAAATAATTAAAAATAATTATCAAAGCAATATTCTTTTTTTTTCTACATTCCAAAACTTCGTAGAATGCTCTCTCTCTCATGAAGCAATTAAATGAGAGTAAGAAGATTTTATAAATAGATTGGTTGTTATTTTCTGTCTCAATAAAGAGAAATTACTTAGAATACATCGAAACTAACGACACCAGTTACCATGATATCTGTATCGCAGATCATATATATTAGTAGGTCTACAGTCAACACAGCATTTCAAAATGTCGAACTAATCCCTTTAGAGTTTTTAAAATCTATCTACCAATTTTAAAGAAAATATCTTTATTCAATAATTGAAAAATCATTTGTTTTTATATTCTACTCACAATTTATCGTCAGAGAAGTAAGTGTAACTTCTCTTAGACCAATAACGGCTATTGAAACTGATCCTACGACTAGAGGACTCTTTGTAGTTACAACCAAAATGTATTTTTTCATAGATTTAAATTGATGTATCATTCCAAATTGTAAATTGTCTTCAGAATCATCATCTCCAGAAATTAAATTTTCCTCTATATTCGATGAATTAAAATTATCCACATATAAGTATCCATAAGTATCAATACTGGAATTGCTCACAACACCATAAGTATTAGTTTCAGGTACAGATATCATTATTGCTTCATAATAGTACATACCAACACTGCCTAATCGGTCATATTTAGGACTGTTTTCTGTCAATGAAGTTGAATATTCCGACGTAAATGTTTGACTACTTGGAACTTAAATAGATAATAGTGAGTATAGATCAGATTTCCTTTTAAACAATAATACTTGACTATATTTATCATAAATAGATTGATTAGATATTTCTATTCAATAGGATAAACTTCAATTACATAAACAATTTGAATCAATGCTCAAATGGATTTACATAACTCAATGTTATTATAGGCTATCGAAATATCATTTAAACTATGAAAATTATTCATTTATGTCATCTAATCTATGTTTAACTTTATACAAAAGGCAGTATAAGTCTTTCAAAATTATCTTTTACTTCAGCGACAAGTATATGAAGTTAAAAGAATAATTCTAAAAAAAAATAGTAAATCTTAGAAAATAATTACTAAATATTTTTATAGAATAGATTTAACAAAATGTTTTATAAAAAAGGTCTTTTATGGGTATATTCTAATCTGAATTTTTTCTTTCGAATAATCAAAGATTAAAATTAAAACTAATACTAAAAATCATAAAACATATAGGAACTTATTATTGAACTATCAATTAGATGAGTCTAATCAGATCTTCTTAGATCCGAATATTCGATGAAATCATAATTACAATCCAGACTAGAGAATCATTCAACGCGAATCTTGACATCAGAACTTTTACAAAAATTATTAAAACTTCCGAGAAAACCTAATCTTCGAACATATCTATCGCATAAATCATCTTGAGTATGTATGTTTTTTCGTTTATTATCATGATATTCCGTAATCAAATGTCTCTCGACTTCTATCAAACTTCGTTATGAAAATCATTTGAGTCTTCTCAAAAATGATTTTATAGTTGAAATAATTATTTGATTAGAGACATTTTCGACATTAATTATATAGTCATCATAGAAAAAAACAATGAATAGAGTTAACTTACATTGTGTTGTTGTTGTTGGTACAATTGAAGAACTATTTATTTGACGAAACTGAATCTGATTTAATCCAGATATTAATAATGTATAATTTCCAGTGATGTTTGAATTATCTGTTGTAATAACTAATACGTATCGATTCTGGGATTTAAAATAAAAACTGTTCTGATTTTGTAAAATTTCAACCGTACCACACCTTGCTATGACCAAATTAACATCTGATGAATTTGCATAAAAATTAATCTTATATAAAATCCAACATATTCGTACTGAACTATCAGAGATAAGTATAATATAATCACCATCTACTGGTACAGTCACTTGAAATGCTTCATAATAGTAAATGCCATTGAGTTTATATGGAAAAATAAATGATTCGCTCTTTTGCGTCAATGATGATGATAATGTTTCATTTCTTACATATAAATTAACTATTTAATGAAAAAAAAATTATATATAAAAATATTTTGTTTTTCTAATTGATAAACAGCTACATTCAAACTATGGAAATTCTAATAAGAAAATAAGAAAGAATTTTGTTATCCTTTGAAAAATTCATCTTAAGTATAATTTCTTTCATTTTTCAATCAAAAATATCAAAGATTATATTAAACTTCTAAACAAAAATAAATTATTTTATAGAACCTGTCGTAGTTGTAAGCATTGGTGGATGTGTAACACCACGTGCTGAACAATTATAAAATAATCGAACTTCTAAAATATCATAAGTACTCATATTATAACGTTGTCCAAATTCAACATTTGGTTGAAGTGCTTCAATTGTTGGAAGATTATTTAATGAAAAAGCAGTCGGTTCATAATGCATTACGGATGCATAATCATATGGAGTATTTAATGTATTTACTAGTGAATTATCATATTTGTCAAAGTTATGCAACATATCTATATTGATAAAATAAATTTATATTTTATGTTTTCTTTTACATAATTTTTTTCTGTTTTCTTCCCTTGATGAATATTTTGGTAATTGACTTTGACATAATAATCACGATCTGGTCGAGATTGTTCATGAAAGAAACCTTTTGACAAAATAATATATTTCATTACTATTAATGATATATATATATTCAAAGTATAGGAATTGAATAGTGTGCGTTGTATACTATTCAAAATCTTCAGCCTACATAACTCAGTTAATTTTGCATGACTATTATTGAGCCATTTGTCGTATAAAAACTAATTATTCTAGTTATATTAGGTCAGTAATTGATGATATGTATCGATCTTTAAGTACAAGAAGATACCAATAGAAGCCAGATAGAAATAACAGATTTTCGTAGTTTATTAAAGTATACGACAGTGGCGGAGCCAGGATTTATCGCTAGGTGGGGCTTAGCCCCTCAAGAATTTTCAACGCGTCTTAGGTATATGAAATTTACCTATTAATATTAATCCTGATGTAATATACAGGGTGGTAAATAATATTATTCAAGGGGGTACCGCTATAATTTCTAATTGAAAACATGATGTATTTTATACCAAATAAAAGCCCGTGAAAAATGGGATCTGAGAGTATAACTGGCTATTCATAAGATTAGAATAGGCTATAGAAATATGGAACGTCTCAGATTTTACTAGTGTAATTGTACCGTTTTGCTGATAGTTAGCCTAAAATCATAAAGCTCTCGCAAAATATTTTTGTCTCTTGAACTTTGTAGAGCTCTTTGCGCTGATCATTTTGGTAAAAAAGTTTTCTAAATTTCGCTGATAAATAATGGTCCTAGGGTCAAAATACCTATACATATATTAAGTGCGTTAATCAAAACAGTACGAAGTTATTAGTACTTTGATTCTAGGATAATTATTTATCAATGAAATTTTGAAAACTTTTTTACCAAAATGATCAGCGCAAAGAGCTCTACAAAGTTCAAGAGACAAAAATATTTTGCGAGAACTTTATGATTTTAGGCTAATTATCAGCAAAACGGTACAATTACACTAGTAAAATCTGAAACGTTCCATATTTCTATAGCCTATTCTAATCTTATGAATAGCCAGTTATACTCCCAGATCCCATTTTTCACGGGCTTTCATTTGGTATAAAACACATCATGTTTTCAATTAGAAATTATAGCGGCACCCCCCTTGAATAATATTATTTACCACCCTGTACTGATGTTACATAAGTGTAAACGTAAACATATAGCTATACCCTAGTGAAGGTACTCATCTAGAGAGTACTCAAAAAGTACTCACGCTAGAAAATGCCGCGAGTACTCATGAGTACTCGTGGGTTTTGAGTACTCATCAGTAGTACTCGTACTAGAACCTGAGTGTCTGAGTACGACCATCGAGTACCCGTGCTGAAAATTTGAGTGTCTGAGTACGACTATCGAGCACTCGCCGTATAATTTTGAGTGTTTTCTGAGTACTTATATACTGTTTTTGTGTACTTTAATAATTTATTTAAAAATACTCATAGGTTTATATTCTGTTCAGTACAGTTGTACTCCATCTACTTTATTTAAATATATAAATAATAGCAAAAAATAGTCATATATTATGGAAACTTTGAGAAAAACATGAAAGTTGAGAACTAAATATGCCACATGACGTCAACTTTTTTGTTATACAGAGTATAAAAATGAATTTTCATCTTTAGAACATAGAAAATGAGTAAATAAAAATAAGTATTGAGAACAATATCACATCAGTAAAGAGGAAGGATAATAAATTATTGATGAAATTAAAATATACGATAACAATAAATGTACACTATAGATCATTGCGAAAAAACAAACTCACATTTTACACTCATAGCTAGATCGAACTTAGTAATGCGCAAAAAAATGAATAGAAAATAAAAAAGTTATTTTTAATTTGATGCACTTGTCTTCAGTACATTGAATTCTAACCAATTTGTATCAAAAATTATTATTCGACATTTGTTTCATTAATTTTCATTATCGATCTGAAAAAACTGTCTATTAATCTAAAAGAACATTCTATCTAAAATTTATGAAATGAAATTGAACGAATTTCCCCTTATATATTTAAATCAATATTTAATCTTACTCGATAAATGAACAGTTGAAAATGAAAAGTCGTTTTTGTATTTCTGAAACAACCATTCATTAAAGCAGTACGAATGACTCATCAGAAAAGAATGGGGGATTAAAAGATAAGTCGTTAAAATAATTCTTTTCTATTTTGTATTCCATTACATCAATTTCCTTTATTACACAACTTCATTCTGTTTTTTTACATGTTAGTGCATAAGTGTTTTGTTAAACGTTCTGGAAATAAACGAAGATGAGTACTACATTGAGTACTCATGTTTTTGTCTGCGAGTAATTCTTAAGGAAACAATTCATATGAGTACTCGCTGTAGTACACGAAAAGTATAAATACACATAAAAATGCTCGAGTACTCGGACGAGTAATTTGAGTACTCACGCTGGCAAGTCGTACTCGCTTGATGAGTAGTTTCACTAGGGTATGTATTCTAACTCACGATTCGAACATAATACACTCTTCAGAGTTGAAAATTTTGTTGTTAAATGAGAATAAACATACGACTGAACTTTCGTCTTTTTATTCTTGTCTCTTTCTATCGAAATTATTACAGTGGGACGGACGAAGAAAATTGACTTTTTACAAATGAATGCTTTTCATCCGTCAAAGTATTAAAATTTCGATAAGAAGAGAAAAAGAATAAAGCGGAAGAATAAAATGAAGAAAGTCAACTGTATGTTTATTCGAATTTAACAACAAAAGTTTCAACTCTGAAGAAGAGCATATTATGTTCGGAACTGTCAAATATGATATATCTATTGTTATACATTTATATTTACATTTATGTATTTTATTTTACATTGGTAATTGTAAATTATAATCTATGTAACATATTTAATGAATTAAGCAAGAACAAAATATTTTTAAAATGATCAATACAACCTTCTAAAGCGTAATGAATTTTCATTCTCTCCTTACAACAACAGAAATAGCTGTATTCTGATAAAAGAGAATTAATGGTGTTGTATAAAGTTGAAATAAGGTATTCATAACCTATAAAACTTTATTGAAGCTTGTGTTTGTATTGACTGTATTTTCTATTATTCAAACCTACATCAATTCTCCAAAATTAGATATATACGTGAAAATCTGACATTACCAACACCAAAACACTTTTGTATAATAAAATGTATTTTTCAAAAATCTCACCAGATGGGGCTCAAAGATCCGTAGGTGGGGCTTAGCCCCATCTGGCACCCCCCTGGCTCCGCCACTGGTATACGACCGAATCAACTTCTATATATCTGTGAGACTCACATAGGATTCGAAAAGCTCGACTATCAGATCAATTGTCCTGAATTTTCCAAAAAAAAAAAACAAGTGAGCACAACTTTTGAGGGGGCATCCATTAAAAACAGTTTCAATGATATTCGTTTGTAATTTTTAAGAAAATAAAAATACAGACGATTATCTAGATAGATTACCTAATGTATGCAATAATTCATGCATAATAATTGCATCGACAAAACAACCAGGATAATTTAATGTAACTATATGTTCCATTTCTTCACCTCTCATTTGTCCAACCTAAAAATGAAATTAGAATAAATTTATATGCATGCATTTATATAATTAATATAATTACAGGTGATGAACATCCATCTCCATCTTTAAAACTTATATAATATTGATCAGTTGAAAGTTTTGGACGAAATTTAATACATGCAACATTATTAATTGCTATTTCACGTTCCATTTTTTCCATTGTACGAATTATAAATGCTATTTGTGAAGGTCCTAAAAAGAATTTAATTTTTATTAACATCAAATTTTCTATATAATTTGTTATATCTATGTGTTTTCTTGTCGTATATTGTTTTTTTTTATTATCATGTTGAATCCTTACAGTTCTCTTTACGAATTAATTCTACAATTGAATATCTCTTATTAATTGTATGCAATATGCAAAACAAAGCTTTTTTTTTCTAAAATTTTCTCGGAAAAAATGCATTAACTAACATTATATATTTGTGTTTGATTCTTCTTCATAAAAAAAAACATCCATACCGTATCCCGGTAAAAATTAATATGGTACAATTCCATTTGGCCACGCTACTGGAGTACCACGACGAAGCACTCCACGCTTGATTATATTCAAGAAAATATACAATATATATTTTATTGAAAAAAAAAAAACTTACACCAATTGATGTTAATAATGAAGTAGGAAAAACCATATCACCTTCAATATAATTGACTAAAATGAAAAAAAATTAAGTTTTGGGTGGGTGTGGGTGTGGGTGTGGGTGTGGGTGTGTGGGGTGTGGGTGTGGGTGTGGGTGTGGGTGTGGGTGTGGGTGT